GCGCTCTATAAAAATATTTGAATTAAATCATTTTAAGATAATAATAAGTATTTGTCGTAGAAAAAGTATTATACTATAATAGTATGCACCTCGTTTATAAAATTTTCTATACACTCATTAATTTAAGAACTCGCTCGCAAGCTCGCTCGTGCCTAAATTAAATTCGTGTATTAAATGGCGTTTATCAAACTTGATACATAATATACTATTATATCATCTGTATAAAGCAATATATTTGAAAAATTTATTTTTTCAACAACATTTTTAACAAAAATAACAAAAAGCAAAGGTCCCAAATTGAAACCCTGTGGTATACCAGAGAAAGCTAAATAAGGATTGGATTAAAATTATTATGTAGGTACAACTACATTTTGACGGTTTGTTAAATAATATTGAAGTAAAACTAGTAATTCATTAGGAACATCATATTTATTATACATTTTTTAAAGTAATATAACGTGATTAACTTTATCGAAAGCTTTTCAAAATCAGTACAAATAACATGTACATCTAAAAAACTTTCCAAAGAGGTTGATATAAACTGAGTAAAGTTAAATAAATTAGTAACTGTAGATCTTTTAGACATAAAACCGTGCTGTTGTGTTGATATATGTTTTGTAATTTTTGAGTAAATAAATTGGTACAAAATATTTTTAAAAAATTAGAATGAATACCTGAAAATAAAGTACCTAAGTAAAATTTGCAAATATTACATTATTTTTAATATTTCCAAAAAATTTTCAAATTCAGTAGGTATATTTTGAAATCCTTAAAAATTAAAAAAAATATTTTTGTAAATTTCGTAAAATTTGTAAACAATCAAAATTTTGGAAATTTTTAAAAATATTGAAAATTTTGAAAATGTACACTCAATCATTTTTTATGTAAACATGATGTCTCGAAAATTGTGGGCATAGGAAAAAACAAATATATGTTAATGCCAATATCCAAAAACCGTCATTACACTGTAATAAAATCAGATTTGTTAAACTATGGTAAATATTAAATTGCACCAATTAAATTTATATTATATTTATTGGGGGCCCTATGGGGCCGGTACGGCCGAGCTAAAGTTATCTTTTTTTCGCAAACTTCAATTTATATTCTGCTTGCGCAGAACTTGTTTATTTAATGTCATTATAAACTCATATAAATTTGGTGTGGATCCCATTTCTAATAATTGAGATATCGGTATACCCAAAATCCACCAGCCAGTGTTCAAATACATGAATCGTTTATTGTTAAAACAAGCTTAGTAACTTTTTGCCAACTCAAATTATCAAAGTACCAAAAATGAATTTCATTTTTAGATCTTCGATGTTTATTAGATCTTGATTCAGGATGTCACGATTATCAAAATACCAAAAATTCATAACTTTATGTTCGACCCTCGAGATTAAAACCATCCTCCTAGACCCCGTTTAAGGAGTCCGGAGCTCCACCAAAGGTCATTTTTCGATACGTGTTAAACACATTTTGAATTAATTAATTTTAGGTTAGATTAGATTACTAATAAGTAATTTCCAGAATAAATAAAAATGAATAATGTAAATTTGCGAAAATAATGTTTTAGTCGCGCCATCAAAAGCATTGTGTAACGTGGCTCAGGTGTGTTTAATGAATTTTAGAGCGAACTTAATTAGCAGAATCCACTATAATTACGAATAAATATTAAAGCGGGGAAGGAGTTTCCAGCTCGAGCAATTTAATCTAAACCTTATTTAAAGCGTTTGTTATTACTATTTCCGGCGACAATTGTTTATCGAAAGAACCATAGTCTGTGCGAAACTGGAAAATAAATAAATTAAACGAAAGATTAGGAAAATTCGTGTAAACAAAAACACATAATTCCACCAGGCAGCGCCACTGACATCTGGAGGCACAAACAAACTTACTATTTGTTCAATGAAACGAAAACTCGGAAACCTGGAATTAAATTTACTGTCTTATCTTTAAGTTCGACAATAAATTCTATCGTCTATTCAAAAAATAATGAATTAAGGAACTAAAAAGCTCTAATTGTTAGTTTGTCTGGACTTTTTAATAAAAAAAAATCTACAAAAAAGCTTAAAGTTTTTTATTGATTTTTTATACATTTTACGAAAATAAAATTAAAATAATTAAGATAATTCTAGTGTATTTATTGATGTTTTTAAAGGACATTTATTATTTATGTATGATATATGATAATAATATACCATAATATAGGGCAAGTTTACCTGTATTCAATTGATCCAACAGAAAATATATTTATATTAACCCAAAACGAATAAATTTTTGTTTTCCTACATATCTTAATAAGGAACCTTATGACAAGCATTTGCGTCATTAGCAATAAGTCATTTTAATTCGCAAATAGATTTTTGCAAACTAGGCTGCACGATATCCTATTGCTATTAGTTTTATCATTAATAATATTTTTCAGAGAAACGTTTAACATTATACTAATACATGTGCAATAATTATACACTTTAACAACAATACTGCAGGTTAGTCATGTATTAAAATAAATTTTATGTGCTAATAATTCTGATATTTTTTAATTGCTTTAAAAATATGGGTTAAGTTGATAATAATAATTATAATTCGACAATAATTATAATTATTATTTAAACATTTGACAAATAGAGAAAACATTTTAAAAAACTGATCTTATTTTTAGAGCTATAAGTGCATTTTTTTATTAAATTAAAATAACAGATTTTAATTTTTTTTACGTTTTGAGATATTTAAAGTTTAAGATTGTTTTAGCACACTAGATAGATGTATGACTTTTTTTTAGATAGCTTTATATATTTGGACAATATATTTATATAATTAAATTTAAGAGAGTTTTAGGATACATAAGCTAGTTTTAAGACAATTTAGATAATTTGTTGACATTTTAAGAAAGTTTTAAAACAATTTTAGGACCAATTTTAGACAATTTGGAAATTTTAAAGATATTTAGACAATTTAAAAAAGTTTAAGAAAACGTTTTAAACACTTAAGCTAGATTTAAGATAATTTATATAGTTTAAGACTTTTTTTAGACATTTTAGATAATTTTAAGACAACTTTTATAATTTAAAGACAATTTAAAATTCCTTCCATTTTTTTTAAGTTTAAGATAGTTTTAGTATTACTAGATTGATTTAGAACTCTTTAGATCGTATTTTTTAGACATTTTAGTATGGTTTAGGACAAATTTAAGACACTTTTAAAGTTTAAAGATATTTGATTTTTTTTTAAATAAATTTGGTTAATATGAAGAAATTTAAGAGACTTTATGACATCTAACCATAGTGTTCTGATATTTTAAGAAACTTTTTGGACAATTTCAGGACACAATTTAAGACACTTTAAAAATTCTAAGATATTTAGACAATTTTGAGGCTAGTTTAAGACACTTATAGAACTTAAATGTTTTTGGACATTTTTAGATAGTGAAGATATTTTAAATAATTTAAAAATATTCTTTTCTTGTTAGATAGTTTTAAAACAACTTGGATAGTTCATCACTTTTAAAAAATGATTATTTTAAGTTTAAATCTATTTATTGCTATAAATACTTCCCAAGTAGCTCTGTTAAATGGAAACTTACTAATAGCATGATTTTAAGCCCTTTTAATTATTGTAGTAATGTATATTTTAGTTTTTTAAATTTAAATACTGTACTTGATACAAAAACTTCAAAATTGCTGTCTTAGATACTCCTATAATATTCAGTACAGCGATCACATAACACAGTATTATGAAATACTTAAAATGGAGGATGGGTTTTACTGCCAATATGCAACCTTAATCTTTAATATTATTAAATCTTCAAAACCAGACTATCTCTGGTCCCTCTTAGAAAAAAGAAATTATTGCCATAATGTAAATTTAAGAAACCCCAATCTTTATTCTATTCCATACCTCTAAATTTGATTTGAGTACTTAGCTGCTTCTATTGCTAATAAACATATGCATTTATTTAAACCTGACCTTACTGTTAACACCTTTAAAAGTAAGTTTAAGAGTTATATATTAAATCTCAGATGTACCTGAATTCAGAATTTTTAAACTGTTTGTAGTATAATATAAGAATATTATTCTTTGTATGTATTTATGTTATTATTTGGTTTAAGCGGTAGACCAGCTATGCTGAGCTTACACCCTTTGTGTTTGTATATTTTGCATGTATGTGTATATATATATGTATATGTAATGTATTATGTATCTTACACAATAAAGTCTATTATTATTATTATTATTAAAATTCATTTAGAACATTTTTTAATGGTTTAAAGTTAAACGTTTTAGGACAGTTTAAATGGACATTTTAGGGCTCTATTAAGTGAAGAACAACTTTAAAGAGTTAAATTTAAGACAAAAATGATGAGCTATAAGTGCATTTTATCATTGTAATAAAATAATAGAATTTTAATGGATTTGTCAAAATTAAATCGTTTTTAGGATTATTTTAATTAAATCTGTCAATTTTATAATTTTGCTAGTTTAAAAAACATTAAACAGTTTAAATATATTTGGAGAATTTAAAGAAGTTTAATATAGTTTTGCTAGATTTAGGATAGTGTTTTTAGTGGGTTTTAAGACAGTTTAAGGGCAAATTTAAAACAGTTTGAAAAGTTTAAAATAGTGGTTAGAACGTTTTAGATCTTTGCACAATGGGAAGAAATTTGAAAGAGTTTTAGGAGACCTAAGAACATTTTAGGACAATTTTTAGACGATTTTAGGACTAATTTGAGTCAGTTTGGAAATTAAAAGTTATTAAACAAATTCAAGAAATTTAAGATACAGTTTTAAAACCGTCAGCTAGATTTAAGACAGTTTGTTCAGTTTAAGACAATTCGAAAATTTAGCCAATTTAAACTAGTTTAAGACAATTTTAGAACACTACAATGTTTTTTAGACAAGATTTTTTTATTTTTTTTAGGTAATTTGATTAGTTTTAAGAATGACTTGTATAAATTAAAGACAATTTAAAATTCCTTTAAAATTTAAGACATGATTTTTACCTTCTGGAACTGCACTGGACGTTAGCAGGAAATTCACGCAGGCAGCTCCTGTCCCATGTCCCACTACTGTTACATTTGTTGGGTCCCCACCAAAAACTGCAATATTTTCTTGAATCCAATGCAGAGCTGCTATTTGATCCATAAGACCATAGTTAGCTGGACTTCTTGAGTAAGGATCAGTGTTTGCATTTAAAAATCCTGAAAAAAGATACAAGTTAAAAAAATTAAAATATTAGAAAATTAAATTAAAAATTTAAATAATTCACAACCAACAGAAATATTCCTATTGATTTTAAACAATAAACAGAAATAAAATTTCAATACTGAAAGCTGCATTGTATGAAATTGTGAAAATGGTGGAATAGGAATTGCAGGCAAAGAAGAAAATAGGTAATTTATTTCAACGTTGATATATTTTTTAGCTTCGTATAAATGAATATCTATTTTTGGTTTTCTATTACATTCTTCTTAGGAACAAAATATTGATTTACAAGATTCTTCAGACAGTTTTCCTACATTAGAGCTTTACTGTTGTTATTTTATCACGTCAACGTTTTAACTTAAAATATATAATTTCAGGGCCACAAAGTAAGTAACTACAAATTAAAATCGGATATTGTAAAAAATGGCGAATGCGCCGGGATACCAAATAAAAATCCTACACGAGAAAAAAATGTTCTGGTTCGGAAGCGCGCGTGGTTTATGATAAAATATATTCATAAGCAATATTTTTCCCCCATTGAAACGTTTATTATTTTTTACAAGACCCGAACAGCTATATATTATTTTGTCACAAAACACATGTCAGGCAAAATAAAAATAAAAATGTTAAATGGAGTGAAGCGCAGCGGCAGATAAGCGGTGACTTTCCTGCACAAATTTAATCCCCGGAAAATATATAAATGATACAAAAAATTTATTTCGTACCTACAAATATGTTGTTTGCTACTCAAGTTAAAATACAATTACAAATAAAAACTTGTTTACAACTTCCGAATGGAGTATTAAAAATAAAATATAATTAAAAGAAACATTTCTATTTTATACTATCCCAAGGCAAGATCTTAATTAAGGTTTGATAGAGCCTCAATAATATTATTGTTTAAGTTGTGCATTTAAATTGGGGTAATTTGTACCATATGTTCTTTAACATGTAATACTAGAAGCCACAAGCAATCAATTATCTAATCGGTCTATTAATTAGCTTGGCATTCAGGTAAATGCTCGGACAATTAATCTACAATTTACAAATAATATAATGTAATTAATCAAAAGCATTGGGGACAATAGGCTTAAAAAAACTTAAAAAATGTCCTAGGATAAACCAGACTACTAAGACAAGACAAAACAGGACAAGACAAGATACAAGGCTGAACAAACAATACTGGATAGACAAGATTGCATACTAGAGTTGGTCGAATATCAGCTTTTCGAAGATAATTTGGTAATATCAAAAATACTAATCTTTAAGCAAAAAAAAATTGTGCAAAAGGAAAAAAAATTGGTTGCTATCTTATGTTCGCCAATGGAAACATTTTTTTATGAAGTTTGTTAGTAAAATTAATTAAAATAAAATTTTAAGATAAAATCGCAATTATCGAAATTATCTCTGAAACCACAATATTTATAAAATAGTTAATTTTTGCAGAGAAATTTAGTGGAAAAAAATAACCAAACCAAACATTTTTTTTTCTTTTAGTTTTAAGTGCAATTGGAGAGCCTAAGTTGTTGACCGAAATTTTTTCCCTTTTGTATTATTTGTATAATTTTTTTTCACCTTTAAAGATTAATATTTTTGCTATTAGGAAATTAATTAAAAAGGCGTATTATACAGTTGACACTTAGATAGAAAGAAAGATAGAAAGAAAGATATACAAATTATTTGTCTATCTGACTGTACAATAGATTGGGTCAAATATAATATTATTTAATTAATCTAAGTGTCAACTGTACAATCTTGCCTATCTACATGTTTTTCATGGTACACTTTGAAATTTAGTTTTTATTAAAAATTGAATATATATTTTAGGTGGTAAAATTTAAAAATAAGGTCCATTTCTCTTAAAAATTAAAATTTAGGTAAAATAGTTAAAATAAAATTACTACAATAATCTAAAATGACTGCATTTTTTCAGCTGTATAAATGTCAAAAATTAAAAAATAGCATGTAAAAAAATTAACTTATATATTATATATATTTTAACGGATTAATGGACTTACATACATAAAAATAACATAATTTAAAAATTAATTTTTTTTAGATAATTTCAAATTAACGCTCTACAAAGACGTCTCTTGTTCAAAAGTTATTCAAGCCTAAAATTACATGTATAGTAAATTTCAAGTTCTTCTTACTTTTCGGCTAAAACTATCAGACTTATAATAAAACATTATGGGACTTTGGTAGATTATTTTATTTTTCAAAAACTTTATTTTTAAAACCCATAGTTCTACAGTTACCGATTTTACAAATTAATATTTATAATTATAATGGTTAAACCATGCAGTAAATCACAAATAAAAGATTAAAAAAATAATGATGATTTTTATAAAACATAAAATGATCTACAAAAATATATGATCATTGTCAACATTTTGTAACAAGTCTGATGGTTTTACGGGTAAAGTAAGAAAAACTTAAAATTTGCTATGAATTTGCCTCAAGTCTTAAATAACTTTTTAATGAGTAGATTTATCATAAAATAATAAGTAAACTTTATTGTGGAGCGTATAATTCTCTAAAATAAAAGTTTGTACAACATTTTAGTCAATTAATCCGTTAACAAGTTACACAATTCCAAAATAAAAAATCTCATGTAGGTACCTACTTAATTTAAATGTAAAATCGCCATTAGCAACCAATAATATTAATGAGTGATATTTTAACAGACTTATGAGGATATTAAATTTAATAGAAAAAACATAGTCAATAGTTATTCAGTGTAGTATACTGCAGTATAAAATAATCTTTTTAATTTATAGTAAATTTTAGATAGTAGAAAAAATGTAGTAAAATTTACTTTAACAAATTTTTAGGGTAACAATATTATATATTCGTCAATACAATATTAAGATTGTAATACAAAATACTATTTTTTATTATACAATTTTAGTGAAGATTACAACACCAATATTACTAAATCATAAATATATATATTTTAATTTCTAATATGTTCGTATAGTAAATTGATTTTACTATCTACAAATAGTTATAGTTATAGTTATAAGAAAGAATTGAACCTACTTGGTTGCATAGTATGTACCGATTGCGGCGAAGGCCACGTCGCGACGCGTCGTTAGACGGTGTGGATCACGTAATGTTCTTACATCTCGCCTCTGTTGGCTTACCAACCATGTTATATAAGCTCAGGTATTTCCTTGTTTTGGGTGTGTTCCACTACTACAAGTTGCTCGACAGTGACGTGTCGACACTGATGATACCCAATATAGGTCAAAACACCTGTCTGTCGGTATTTCAAGTTGATGGAACGCACTCAAAACAAAAAACTTTGGCGAGGTGTAGGTTCAATTCTTTCTCATAATATTTTTGTATATTAAAAAGTGCAATAAATATGTTACAATTTTTAATTGTTAACATATAAAAATATTCGTTTTACATAATATTTTAAAGTTTACTATACTTATTAGTAATGGAAAAAAATCTAATTATAATAAGAATTAAAAACAAAATTGGATAAGAATAATAATATTTTACCTTAAGGTTTAACATACATGGATATTTAAAAATTACTAAATATGCATAGTAATATACAAGATAGTTGTCCCAAATACTAATATAAATTATAGTAAAGGGTATTATAATTATGGTAATCAGCATTATACTTTTCTCTCCGTGTAGCAGCTAAAATAAATAAATAAAGAAATTTTTGTATTGTAATTTTATTTAAATTATTTATTAGCCCAAAGTCAACGGTCCGCCCCTGTCTAAAACCATCTTAAAATTATGTATACCCTGATGTAAAATCCTCTTTTTTGTATGGTGGAATAGTTTTTTATTTGAACATAATAAGAAAGTCTATGGACTTATTCTTGGTGATATTAAAAAAGTCGTAGTTGAGAAATGTGTTTTTGGTCGGGAAGGAATTTAATATGTACCAGACATGGAAGCATATGGGGGCTGCTTGTCTAAAATCTAGAAGTTGAGCAATTTGCAAGTTCTCACGGGGCAAACGCCAGCGGGAGTGTCGAATTTATTCCCAGAGGAGGCGCACGTCATAACTCCAACAATGTCTTTAAACTTTCCCGGATAGTTCGAAAATAATATTGCGCCAAAAAATCGAGAATAAACTTTCAGCGAAAACAATTTGCATCGCCGCGAATAAAGCCATAAAACGTTGCTTTTTTCTGCACACAATGCAACGCCGGTTATTTACTACTGGAAAAATATCGCACGAAAAAATGCGACATCTGGTGTATTAATATTGTTTTGTTGTCGTGTTGGCTGCACTGTAGTGTTCACTGCGAATAAAATCCCACTATGCAAATGGACGTTATTGTAATTAGATAAACCTGCGGTCGTGTAAATGGTAATACCACGCACATCAAGCCATTCAACAACTGTACTATACGTTCTGCTATACTTTTTACCAAAGTTAACACATATTCTGCATACAAACATCCTTCATGAAACTATATACAACAAATAGCATGCTCTTATATTAGTAAAATATCAAAATATACTTTGTATTTCACCGAGGAGTAGTTCATTTCACCGAGGTGTAGTTACCACAATCCACACAACAAGGTCTTTTCTATCTCGTTTTGCGCATACTAAAAATCACGAATTTAGGCAACCCACTGCACAAACTTTAACAGCCATGTTTTGTGGGTTATGGTAAATTAAGCTAAAAATTGATATATTTTACAGTTTGAAGTAAAATTGCCTCATTTGAGACTTACAAGTGCCTCTGTAAGAAACACAACGTTTAAAACGAATTTTATTTTGCATAAACAGCACAAACCTGAAGCACAAGAATTGTCAACAACAAAAAAATGGCCGCCGTTAAAGTCTGGGCAGTGGGTTGCCTATCTTCGTAATTTTTAATATGCGCGAAACGAGATAGAAAAGATTTTGTTCTGTGGATTGTGAAAGATACACTGTTATAACATGAGTTTGTAGTTTGTTAATTTTATTTTGTAAAATTTTAAAATAATTTTTTGTAAAAAATAAGGGTTTG